ATACCGACTCACTCATGCACCGAACCAGGAAGGAATGGGAGGCTGGGTGGAGCTTGACTTCTCCTGAAGAGGTACTATCATTAGACATACCAGCAGCAGAACAAACTCTTGATGATGACCTCACCAGCTCCAATCCATTAGAGGCATATGATCCGGAAGCACCAAGGATTCAAGGCCCACATTATCATCTGAATGCTGTCAAGGTTGGAAAAGAGGACATAACTCTCGATTTCAAGATTACAGGTGGTCTTTTCAGCTGGGTCCAACTCGATCTATCTCCCAACATCTTAAAGAACACAATCATTGGAGAAGTCCTTGCGAGAAACCTATTCCAATTAGTAGGAAGAGAAACTCCTGAGCGGCCATCAAACTCGTCGACACCAGTGGATCTTGCCCACCTGCCTAGGATTCTCGAAGGCTGTAACGGACAACTAGGCTTTGAAGTTCCAATGTCCGAGGTGAAACGCGCATTCTCTTGGCCATCGACCATTCATCCTCCAAAGCGTAGCTCACAAGGAGAGAAGCCTGCTACAAGCTCCAAGAAACAGTGCCTTACAGACCTGACCTCAGCACATCGAAGTACCATGAAGCAAGCACACAACCTTTTGAAAACAGGTGCGATGCCCAAGTTTCCCCCAGCCCGGAGGGAATGGACCAGGCGGGGAAGTCCTCTTCACCTTGGTGGGACCTCCATCCTCTGGCCACCTAAGGGATGGACGGCCATGACAGCAGACAAGAAGCTGCTGAGCTGGGAGTTTGCAGCTATGAAGTTTGAGGAAGAGCTCAGAGGTTGCATGCCGACATCCAGTAGACAGGACCTTCTTGACAAGTATAACTTCCTAGGACTTCCTGGCACTGGAGACACCAAAGTCGAGTTGAGTGAACTGCACAAGATGAGACTGTACCAGTATAAGTTCCTGGTGATGGTGGCCCGAGCAGAAAAAAGAGAGCAACCTGCCCTCAGCTGCTGCCAGACAAGTGCAGATGATGGTAAGTCTTGCCACCATGAGAGACCACGACCTGGATCCTCTTCTCAAACAACTAGACGATGTGCCGCTGCGCCTCGAAGCATAGACAACCATTATAAATACAGGAGTATTTCGGATTTTAGTGGGAAGGGGGGAAGTGTAATAGAATCTAAATTGATAGTATAAGTATTAAAAACATCATGTAAACTTTGTCAATCACAAGCGTCACCTATTTTCGTTATATCACGATCTATCTGCAAATGTCCATCCATATTTTTAACATTAAATTAAATAATAACCTAACAACATTATAGACAGTTACCTGGTTCTGAAGTTCACAGATCTGAGGCATCTTTAAGGGGGCATATTCACTGTTGACAGCTATGTTTTATCAAGCACTGAACGTTCGCGGTAGCAGCACTTGTCAGACATGACCTAATTACCACCGTGTGTCACTACGCTATTTACATCCATGAAGGATTCTACTACTGATGTCATTCTGTACTATTATTGTACAGACTTATGTATTTCATGTCTCCAAATGATGTATTTATTCACTGTCTTGAATCATTGTGTATTTTGAGTGTTAACACCGATGTTTGTAAGGGACTATTTCTTGTGTACACTCCTGCTTCGTGGCTATTTATAGAAAGTAAGTGTGACTTTTGACCCAGATAAACAATGACTTATTACACTTGTTAATGACTATTTTCTGATAACTTTCTTACTCCGAAGTGTTTTAAAGTGTATTCCCTGATGGATACTAATGAAAATTACACTTGATTGAACTGAATAACGAATTTGATCTGTTTGGCATTTCTCGGGTTACGGTGACCTGTCAACAACATTTACGTTAGGCTGAGTGACTAATTATAAATTGGATGTCCGTTTCTATATCAAAGCCACATATTCATTATCTGGTATTTTCCTGCATTCTATGGTAGAAATGCATTGCTTTACGATATAGAGGACAATGTATAACCACCTGTATTTCCTACATTTGTACCTGCAATATGACAGTCGTTTCGTGTTTTGGCATTTGTTGCCGACAATCATTCTAGGCACTATTTGACAGTCTGCTGTCCGTTTTCTCTGTTTGCATTTACCAAATATTTTAGCAAACTTGTTCGTGTCCGAATTGTAGTCCGAAATGTAGTCCGAAGGACACATAGGACAACATCAATTCCTGGATACAGGGCATATTGATGCTACACTGGGCCAAAGTTGTCAACGGTCTTAGTATACATTTGACGTCTGTCAAAATGTCGTCCCGCCGCTTGGCCTGAATATAATCGTTGTCCTTATTCTTGTTATATCACATGTTTACACAAATCTCCCTTGTCCATCATGGTTGATCTTTTCGGACACTTTATTTAACATAAGGACAATACCATATGATAAAGGAAACTGATGCTTTTGTAAATTTCACTTGTCATAGAGCCGACCACAAACCAAGATGGCGGCTACTGACGCTACGTTGACGGAAAGATATTGTCCGTTTTATTATTACAAATTGTCTCGATGTCCTGATTATTTCTACTGTGTCCTAATTGTATTCGGACAAGAAGGACAACATAAGGACAATTAGTAATCACTTACTTGTGTTAGAAATGACGCTGCCTATGCAGTGTTTCTTGTATGCAAGCCATCAAATCTGTGTTCTGATTGGTTGAGAAAGGTCACATGACCTCCTGATGATGCCTATAAATACGATCACTGGTCAAGGCCTGACACACTCGATTCGGATTCGCATTCGGATTCGATTCACTCGATTTAGATACAATAAGACTTTCGGTCTGATTAAAGGCTCCTGCTCTAGTTTTTACCTGGTACCTCTACTGACTTAAATTTATCATCATAACTGCTTCTAGGTATATATTTTAAGACAAATTACAATCAATTTAATAACTATATTACATACTCAGTAACATTTCTGCAAGATATTTGAGTTGAAATAACAAAATAACTATTTCCTTGGAGACTGAGCCTTGTCATTAGATATATATATATATAGGCCGAGTAGTGTGTAATATTTATTGGCATCATTTATTTTATTGCATTGCTAACAAAATCATCTACATTCTTGCCATTGAAACAAAATTAAAACAAAGTTTGCATATATCACAGCAAACTTTGCTCTCTACTTCATCGTCTCCTTGTGTTATTTGTTTTCCCACGTGCACCCTGAGGGTGTTACAATATACATGTATTATCACATGTATCATTCATGATTGTGTCAAGAATCAAGCAAATCAACTAAAACAAAACGGTGAGCCCCCTCAGTGTGTTCATACAAACATCAATAAAGGGATATATAAGAAGTTGTTTGGATAGGAAGTTGTAGAAATTGTAATGTTAAAATCAGATCAGTTTTAAACCGACCTTGGAACCAAGAAGTTTCTGGATTTGGAGTAGAATCTTTTAGGTTGATATTAACCAAATCATTAAAATCAATTCTGAAAATATGATTTATATAATTTAAAATATAACTGAACAATGGATAACATGAACTGTAACTCCTATAGGAAAAATTGCTATTATCAAATATTGCTTAACTTCACCTGAATTATGACCTGATCTCTATGCACAGGAACACACACCATCATAATTGGAATGATATTTTCATAAAACCCTATAAAACCACTCATGATACTAAGATGGGTGCAATTCAGGCTGCTTCACAGAATCTGTCCAGTCAATACATACCTGAAATGCACATTGTGGAGACTAATCTATGTACATTCTGTGGGGCTGAGCCTGAATCCATATTTAACCTATTATTTGCAGTTGGTTTGAACAGTGCCAAATCCTAAAATAAAAAAACTTTGACCTCAGTGGTGTAAGCAGTTAATCAAGCATGCACAACCTACAATTTTTAATCATTATAGCTATGAAATAACATGTCATCGCCTGGAATCACAATATAATTATATCCGTGTTCTTGCTTACAGGACCGCCTCCGTGGTGTAGTGGTAAGAGCGTCCGCCCGGAGAGCGGAAGGTCGCGGGTTCAATCCCCAACTGCGTCATACCAAAAGACGTTAAAATATGGTACTTGTTGGTCCCTGCCTGGCGCTCGGCATTAATGGGTACAACAAGGACTAGTCTGCTCGGAGTCAGTATAATGTGTCTGAGTGGGGTATCCATGCTTCACTGCGGCATGGTATCTCAGTGGGATAGCACTATAAAACGAGCTTAAGTCTGGGCTAGTACAAATAGCCGCACATACACACACACACGCATGCACGTCGTCATATGAGCGAAATATTCTCAAGCACGATGTTAAATCCAATTTCACCTCACCTCACGTCTTGCTTACAGATGTGCATCCTCACCCCTGACTCCTTCAGTGTCCAATGAAACCAAGATTTCTAACCAAAGAAAAGTACAGAGACGACTAATTATGTCTGCTGAGGAACATACATCATCCTCACTGTCAGGGGCTTCTGATCCCGATAAGGTGGCACTCATTGATGAAGTAGGCTATCAGTGTAATGTGAGCACAACAAAGCTTGATTATCATGATCATACATACTTCAAAGATCCAGATAACTCTGAAACAGCTGGGAAGAATTGCAAGATTACTACCAAGACCACATCACCCAATATGTCCAGAACTTTAGGCTCCAGTCAGTTGCTTGCCAATTCTTTTATAAACTGTGATGCCTCCTTGAGACAGAGTTTGACTTGTTCTGATATCTATCTTTTGACAGAAGCTATCGATTCCTTCTCAGTTTTCTCTGCTGCTAAAGCAATGATGAAGATTCCACATTTGAAATCAGCCATAGAAAAACATTTTCTTCAAAAAGTATACCATAGTGTTTCAGAGTTGAACCGCAGGAATGTTGAACATGGCTATGTGTCTGAACTTATGGCCAAAGACTATAAGAATCTTACTGATTTCAAATGGCAAACTGTTGTGGAAGAAATTGCTGTCAAAGTTCCTGAATTGCTGAATATGATGATTACAGTCAGTGTTGGATATGGTGGTGTAACCCCGGAGAAGTTGGAAACACTGTTGCCAAGAATAGGAATGGCTTACAGTATCCTAGTACAGGCTCGGCATCATGAACTGAGCAGGGTGCAGAGGATCATGACAATGTGCCTTCATGACAGTACCTGTGAACAAAAGGTAAATCATATATTTTTTCAATCAATATGATAACAGAAAAAGCTTTTGTGTACTGATAAAAAGGAAATATGTCTCTTGGAATAGACCTCTTGATTATTTGCTTCAAATGTGCAAATCAATGTAAACTGAGGGAAGCAAATAAGGGATCACACGAAAGCACAAGTGTTCCTTTACTCATCTTTATTCAAAAGTTATGCAATACAAAGCTTGTGAAGAAACCTTGAAAAAATAAAGGATCACTTGTGCTTTCATGTGATCCCTGTTTTTTTACCTCAGTATATGTCATGCGAATGTATGCATAAATTTACAGAATCCAATTCCTTATTTTCAGGTCTTTGATCGGCTACAGCAAATTGTTGTGTCTCTCAGTTATGGGAGGAGCCTTTTTCTGTTGAATGAGGTTGGAGGACATTTCAATGACCGGGTCATACAGGCTGTCAGTGAGGGACGCAGGTTTCGCATCATTGGCGACAATTTAAATTTTCATGTCGATGTTCAGGACATGAGTAAAGACAGGCAGAGCAGTAATCATCACATGTTTGCCTCGGCTATCATTTTACAGACACAGGTTGACAATTCCATGCTGCAAAATGTCCCACAGAAGAGAATTGACAATCTTCTAGAGAATGATGTCCTCATCTCAAACACAGAGCTTGATGTTGTGAAAGATGAATACATTAAAATTAGTGTGTGACATTGCCAGTGAGCACATCCCTTCTCTAGCATTCATGGGGAAGTGTGTTCCATCTTTCTTACTTGGCCCTCACAGTGAGCAGTTAAAAAGAAAGAATGAAGTCATTGCCTTGCCAGTTTTGCCTTATAATGAGCAGTCCTATGCTGATGATGTCAAGATTCTTGCTTACTATGAAGACACCATTAAAGAAATTAACACTTCTGCTGGGCTTCCAGTAGATGGTAGTGTGAAAGTTCACATTGGTGGGGATCAACTGACAAGAGAGCGCTTCGGTCATGCAAAACGTTTCAGGATTGGCAATTTACTTGCACATGAACGATTTGACCATCTTGGTCCTACCTCATTCGAGCTACTTCATCTGGACATGAACTTCCTTGAAAAGATTGCTTTTAGGTATCTATATAATGAAGGCTCCTCAAATGAATTGGGAACAATGAAGTCTGAGCAGCAGCGTATTTTACGCAAAAATGTTGATCCAGATGTTCGAAAGGCATATGATGCTGATCAAGCCTACTTCATCTCCTTTGTCAAGAGCTAAATTGTAGCCCTCTTGCTCAGCTTCGTTGGCATGGAGATTTCAGATGGAACACCAACCAAAAATGTACCACCACCATTTTTAAATGAAAGTGAGAGGAAGGCCTGGGTGAGGAATACAGTGGGTGACCTCGTAGAGGAAAATGTACTATCTACATGGCGTGGCAAATCATGTAAACAACAGGTTAATGTGGGAAGGAGAGACATCATCCAACTTTTGCCAGTAACCTTGAAAAATGACACTCAAAGGAATCTCCCAGTGTATAGCAGACATGGGGTAATTGTAATTTGTAATTGTAATTGAATGTAATTAATTACAAAAATCTATGTAATTGCATGTAATTTGTAATTGAATGTTTAAAATGTAATTTGTAATTGTAATTTAATTAATTAATATCTCAATGTAATTGAATTTTTCAATTACTTATTCAATTACATCAAATTACATCTCACTTTTTTATTTTGGTGGTCATCAGGCAACCCTTGCAATTATATTCTGTACAATAAGGAGGACAAAGCAGTGTTTTTCAATAAGATGCTTGTTGACGGTATATACTCTAGCAGGTGTTAAGTTTTGAAAGAGATTTGAATGTCTAAGCCTTTGTAACTATCACCATCTGCACATTTGTGAAACAAAGGGAATCAGTAACGCATGACTGAATGTAGGTTGGTATTTGAGGAAATGGGGGATTAACAGTACTATTAGTCAAGTTCCTATCAAAATGGCCTCTTTGTTTATTTCTCATAGGATATGATATTCAAAATCTTACTGAACTCAGAGACCATATAATATTATATGGTCTCTGCTGAACTGTAGTCCTATTTTTATAATCATGAAAGGTAATAAGCCATAAATCCAAGTTGACAAATCCTTTAGTATGTTAATGTGGATTATGTCAGATAGAGAGACCGGCTGATTATATATTGTAATGTAGGCCTGTAATGATGTCATGATACAGTACACCTAAGGTAACAGTGGTGGACAAAGTGTTTTTTGCAACAAGAGATGATAGAGGTGGGTATTTGATAATAAGCCCAAAGAAATATGCAAAATACAAATTTGATCAAATAGTGTACATTGTAGATATAATCTACTTTTGCATTTCACTTTTTGATGACAAAAATATTAATTGGATTTAGTGACCACTGCTTACCAACATCGATATGTTGTTGATTAAAGGAATACAGAAATATATTTGTTTTGTTTTTTTAACAAAGTAATTTGTAATGTAATTAATTACATTGGTAATGTAATTGTAATTTAATTAATTACATTTGAATTTAAGGTGTAATTGTATTTGTAATTGTAATTGAGGAAAATCAAAGTAATTGTAATTTAATTAATTACATTTCAAAGTAATTGAACCCATGTCTGGTGTATAGTCCAGAGGTAACATTCAACATAATTCCATACTGAGCGAATGTGAATCACACAGAGTTTTCTATGGCCTGTTTGTGAACAACCAAGGACACATTAACACTCATATCAGAGCAGACCAGCAAATAGAGTACATAGTGAAGAAGCAGAAAAAGCTAATCAAACACTGTTACTCCAACAAGGCTAATAAACATATCGTGCGACACACTGCTGCTGTCCATGCTGTGTCCACAATTGGAGAGAGCTTTGATGCCGCCACCAAAGTTATCAGGCGTGCCAAAGCTCATCCCGAACTTTCAGCATTGATGGATGAAAAATCCACTGTATCTGACATTATAAGCATTAAACCATGGAATTATTCTGCAAACAGGGAATTTGAACATTTCCCCAGAATTCAGAGAACACTTGTTGACAAAATAGATCCTGCTGCCTTCCGGAAATGGTTTTCCGAAAAGAAAATGTATTTCTTCCATGAGGTTTGGAAGTAATACATAGTAGATCAGATGTATCCCCGTACGGTTTTACCTTATAAGATCTTATAAGATTCTTATAAGAAGATGAATTCTTATAAGATTCTTATAAGAAATAATTGGGAATAAGAAACTTATACGAAATCAAAATGGTGTTTCTTATATGAATCTTATATATTTCTTAGTGACAAAAATTTCTTATAAGATTTTTTCATCTTTTTCTTATTTTGTATGAGAAACTTATAAGAAGTCAAATGTTCATTGTTTTACAAAATGTATTCTCTGATATGAGTGATATCTACAATAAACATAACATACATGAAACATAACATCATTGATAAAATTTGTTCTTCCAAATCTACATATTTTCTACAATTTTCAAGGGTTTTGCAGTTACATTAAAAACTGACAATCCCTTCAAAACACTGTGTAACTGATAAATATTACATAAATTGGTATAATAATATTAAATTGGTTAATTAAATGTTTAACACAATAATTGTGTTTGGTTGATGTTTCAATACCAAGCAAACAACATGAACAGTACTTGTGGCAAATCAGTGGATGGTCAACATTGTGAAAATATTTCTCAAAAGAATATAGCGCAGTTGGCAGACAGTGTCCTGCTGTACAGTGCAAAGCAAGCAGATGCAACAACTCTGTTATCCCATCCGATGTAAGAGAATGCCGTGTTGCAAAGGCCAGAATCAGTAGTATGCCGACAGATAAGGTTATCTGTGCACCCTTGTAAATATAACTATTGACATCAGACTCTACACTAAAATCCTCATCTTCACTGTTTGGGCAATCCTCTTCTGACAGTTCATCATCAACGAAACCAAATTCATCACTTCATTCTTCCTTGCATGTCGTCATCATCACTGAAAAACAAAGATCAGGATACAAAAAGAGACTTTCAATTGAAACTATGATATTTGTAATAGCTGTAATATATTGAGGATTTTTGTGTCTTCAGTGTATATCACTTTCTCTCATCAATTGACGGCATAAGGACGAAGATTTTATCCGTGGCGCAGGCTTTAGCCCATCACAAAAGGAGAGGTAAGATAGTTCACTAAAAACCCAAAGTATTCCTCTTATAATACGCTTCAGTGTTGAAAATTGTGGTGTTTTCAATTCGGTCCACTTCATCAATTTCTTGCAACATCATTATTGTTGCTGCATCACCTAGCAATGACCGACGAGGATGCTTCGATAGTGATGTCATACCATTGTAAAGATGACATCATAATTCTTTTGATATTTTTAACAGTGAACAGAGTGAATATTAAATCTGTTATTGCATAAATAGGAAATTGACGTGCCCCAATAAATCCCATTTTTTTGTGAGCAAGTATGCCTTTAAGAAATACCAACTTATCTAGACTGAATAAGGACTAAAATAAAAGATCTAATCAAGAAGATATTTTTTTTCAAAATAAGTTGACTACTTCCCCTTTTTCTCAATATCAGATTTCTCAAATTTCTTTGGACAAGTTGAAGATTGAAATAAAGTTTGAATTCAGACCTGCTGTACTTCATTTCCCGAAAATCCTGAATCTTGCTTGCAAGTTCATCTGGCACATGTGACTGTTGTCCTTATGTGGAATCGTGCTGCAACGGAGTTGCTCCTCCAATACCACTTTCAATGTAAGCTTCTAAGTCATCAGAATAACCACTTGTTGCATAGTAGCTAGGCCAATTCATATCATCATCTGCAGAGTGATACTGAGATGACTCTCCCTCATCTTCAAATAAAACTGATTCAGGCCCTGTTTGCTGGCTCTTTGTGTTATCAACAGCATCAGAAGAGCTAGGCAAATGAGAAATAACCTTGTTGTAACTTTCCATGAATGCTCTTTTAGAACTGGGTGGGATACCCTCTTTTCCAGTGTGCTCCTTGATATATCTTTTGTAAGATGTACTGACTCTTTTTCTTGGTGGGTCTGCCATCTCAAGTGATGTTTCTGAAAATATCAATATAATTCAACCTTTGAGAATAATGCATACATTAAATGATATTTTAGAAGAATAAACTGTAAATCAACAATATTCTATTCAATTTGATTTTAATGGGTTTTTCCATAATTATTTTTATCACTATCAGACATTAACTGAAGGAGTGATGCAAGAAATTACTGCTTTGTGCCAATCTGCATGCTAGATTTTATCTAAGTGTTGAGAAAACAAACTGATTTAATCAATTCTGAAAGTTGTTAATGAAATGATTTTGGATTTTCGTTATGTTTCATGTTTGTTGTCACCAGGTATTGAACCCTAATCAGTTATTAATCATTTATGACAAACAAATTGCGGGTGAACTCGCGTGTGTAAATGACATCACGAATTTAGGGTACTATCTAACTGTGGGTACTAATATATTACTAGGAGAACGAACTTTACAAAAGTTGTAATATTCAAAGTGAAAATCAAATCAGAATGTAGAAATAAAGTTACTAGTGAGTGATTTTGTTTAACGTCCATATTTCAGCCATTACTAAAAAAATCGTAAAGTAAACATGTTCCATAATAAACCGTTAATGGATGATTTAGATCTATCTGACTGGGGTTTTCCTTCATTTAAAAATTGCATGTCCGTCGTGATGTTTTCGCTAAAATGACATCAATATCTATATATTATAATGAATAAACGTTTAAAACGGATTATTGCGGCAATAAAATCAATAAAATAAGTTATTTCCACACCCTCTTACCTTTTTAGGGCTATTTTTTCTCTTGAAATCCAAAGTTGACCATTTACCAAATTGAATCGGTCCCTTTCAGCTCCATTGGTGTGCTTCCGTTTCAAGTACGCATGCGCCAAAATGGGAATTCCAAAATGGTTCCGGAATCGGAATGCAACAGTTGATTTCTAAATTTAATCGTACAAAAGGGGTTCGGAAATACTGAATTAAATATCGATTTTGAAAAATGAAATAATTATAAAAAAAGGTAAACGAATAATGAAACAATCAATCATTGCAGTTTGGTATAAAAAACATGAACCATAAGGCTAACTGGTTCCGATTCCTGAACATTACCGATTCCATATGTGGAAGTAACCAATGCTTCCAGTTGGCGGTAATTTTCATTTCTCCATTGTCAACGACTCAGCGAATTTGTTACTGCATTTACCATTCTTGATTCCTGTAATTTTCATTTCTCCTTTGTCAACGACTCAGCGATTTTGTTACTTCATTTACCATTCTTGATTCCTGATTTGAGGCAGCAATTTGAAGCGAAAATGGCAAAGAAGTTCGATCGTCGTGCTGTTAGAACCTACCACTTCGAGGAAAGTAAGTATCGAGGATAAAACATCTAAAGGTTTGTTAGATAATGACCAAAGACGTATCTTTGATATGACGAAAGTACTTTATGAAGACGATTCTGACTATCTTTTCCGTGACGTCAACTAACTATGTAACACTTATTGTCGAAATTTAAAATCTAACAATTTAGTGGGTGGCGATGAAATTTAACGTTTTACCCTGCCGTATTCACTCCAATCCTGGGTATTTTAAATATATCCAGGACGATTTCATTGACATAATTTTTTAAAACCTTTATAAAATGAGACTTACAGCGACTGTGAGTCTTGATTCATCGGCTCCATCGTAAAATGCCAGTCCACGAGTCGAATTCGATTTCACATTAGTCACAGTAGTTCATCTTCAAACAATTTTTAAATCTATCTAATGAATTGTTTTTGAATTAATTTCTCAACACTTATTTAAGGTTGATCCGTCAGTTAGTATAATCAGTGTTACTCAGATTTGCTAAATTCTTAGATTTGATATTTGTGATTGACTTAATCACATTATAAGACACTCACTGTAATTATTACACCGGACACTATAATAATACTAATAGTGATAACATATTGGACTTAATTAAATTATATATATATTTGACAGACATTATACTAGTATTTCTACTGTTATTAAAGTAATGTCATTGGATTTTACTTGTTTAGATGTGTCAGTAACATACTAATATTATTACTGATTTTTTAAATAAAACCTGTTATTTCAATTCATTAAAGTGAAATGGGCTGTTGTGAGATACTTCGATGGCCAGTTGAGTGGAGTTCTCAAGGGAACAGAGGTGGAGGATGAAGAGACAGGGTTGACTCTTGAAGAGGGCTACCTACAGGAAGGAGACCATTGCATGGCCAAGTGGTTGGACAAGAAAATGTACAAGGCCAAGATTCTCTTTCTAGGATGTAAGTATAAAAAAAACATTAATGATTTAAGTGAGAGTCAGTTTGTAACCCTGAGTTAAGCATTAGAGTACTTCCATTTTGAGGTTTGATTACTGCAATTTGATTGTAATGGTAGTAAAGGATCAGCTTTTCCTGGGTCTCATTTCAATCGGCGGCTGTGGTAGGTTTATAAATTAGATGCATTGTGTTTGGACTAAGTGAAAATGTAATGTCTCGCTCAAAAACTCAAAACAGCAAGGTATCAACAACAGATTGGATCGATGATACAGATTTTCAACGATGTGTTACATATCATGGTATCTTGGAATGATACAATAAATAGAGGATACTAAGCGAGCAGCCGTGTTACAATATCATTACTATTAAACAAGTTAACGATTAGGTAACATTTAACGAGTGAAAGCAAGTTTGATACTAAATTGTTCACATTAGTATACTAAAAATGGTATTTCATGAAAGCGTCAATTTAGTATCCTGTTTATTACGTGTCAAAGAGTACCAAGTGAATTCACTGACAGTTTGTTGACGCTAAGATTTTTATAACTCAACCTATGATAAGATATCAAGGCATTCTAATGGCAGTACTAACATTATGACGTCACAGTTGTGAAACCTTTTGACATCATATGTGCAGTGGTATTACCATAGTGCAATATTTCCCTTTAAATGTTTAACACTGCAGTATCTTCATTGAGTAATAAGATTGAATGCATAACACAATTTCACAAATATTTACCAACGTTTATGTGTTGCAATAGTATGTAACATTGTAGTTTATGAATAATCCTTGATTAGTTGTGAAACTTTACAATTTTTAGGAGAAAACTGTAAATCACAGTAGTGAAAATAATTATTGATATATTTTTTTGGTAAGATACAGTATTATGATTATCATTGTTTCAGTATGTAATCAAAAAATTACATCTCGTATAAATAAGGCTGTGTCTAGTCTTAGTCAGAGTGTATTTTGATATTTAAACACTGTTTGGAAAACATTTATCATATTTTAAAACAAATGTTTCATATGATGTAATATGCATGATCAGTAAAAGACCTTTCTTTAGTTTGAAATGTTTTAGAAATGGAAAATTAAAAGAACAAGTAATTATATTTTCTAGCTCCTTTGAGAGGTAAAAACAAGAATTTTTTTTTTTTTTTATTGCCTTAGTTACACTTGTTCGAGTGTTGATATCAGTTGAAATTTGTTTTCTATGACACCGTATCTGCATTGGAGTTTGTTTTGTCCTTTCAGCTGACAAGGAAGAAGCTGCAAAGCAGGCAACTCTACTGAAGGTAGCCTATCCTGATAAGAAGCAGGAAAAGAAAGGTGATGCTGATAAGGAATCAGAACCCCAAAAGAGGAAACTGGCCAACCCTGACAAAGCTACAGAACCTACAAAGGTATGCAATACTTTGAAAGGACACAATACTCAAATCAAGAAGGATAAAGGATTTGTTAATTGTAGATTTCAATTTAGTTAAAACATAACATTACTAAGACATGTTACTTTCAGGTCTGTCATATGCAGAGAAGGTCCCATCTTGCCGATGTCTAGCATGCTCAGAAATAACCCAATGCCAACATTGCAGGCTTGGCCTTTGGGAGGGATAGATTAAGATAATATTGGCTGGTAACAAAGTATATGAAAAATCAGCTTGACAAAACCCAAATGGGTATCTCACTTCATGAAGTTTAATTTGGATCTATGGGACTAGACATTAAAGATTTTAACTAGAGTGTGTGCATATAAAACCAAAGTAACTACAAGCAATTACTTGATATATTACTATCAATATTGATTAATTCTACTCAAAAACTACTTATGTCAACTTGCCCTTGGGCAATTAACCAGTGATTGTGAATCTTTATGATGTTTACAAATATTACGTTACATATATATGTCAGAAATTAATGTAATTTACTGACAATTACTTAAAAGTTCTTTATGGGCAAGTGTATAAAACACTATCAGGGCCTGTGGCAAGTAAACATTGAAAACAAAATAATTTGAACCCTTGTCATAAAACAAATTAAAACTGTCTTTGCTCATCACAAATATAATTGACTGCAAGACCGTTTCAAAGTAAAGATTTTTTGACAATATAAAGAGATATTGTGATGTTTGTATGAAGTAATTCAAGTATTTTTTATTGTTAAAATTATTATATTGACTTTATAAGCTTTTAAAGATATACTGAATTTTTTAAAATCATATTTCAGAAAGAACGTAAGACTACAAAGGCGGCAGAAAAGAAGGCCCAGATTAGAGCCCAGGAGAAGATGGTGGTGGAGCTCCTGGCGGTGCTGTATGGCCATGGAGACAGTGATCAGGTGGAGGAGCTGAAGCGGAGCCTTGAGGAGAAAGAGAATATCATCAAGGAGAAGGAGCAGATCATAAAGGACAAGGATGAGGAACTCTTTGCCATGCAAGCCTTCAGTCAAAGACAATTCAGGCATGCCCATGCAATGGTGCTCTGGCATCCTCTCTGAGGTCAGAAGCTGTACAGAAATTTGTTAGTCAACTGGCAGGATTATGTCCAGTCATCTCTATACATGGTATTTATATACAATTATTGTGTTATTCAAGTTTGTGTAAAAAGGTCCACAGCAATGAAATATAAACAATCGTAATAAAAGTTACAGTGGATATTTAAATATATTCATATAAGGAAGGTAAAGCAAACTAAATTCTTCAATGTAACTTGGGCAGTGTGTTTCTACTCAGTTATAAAATGTTTGTCACATCATTTATACGTAGATAAACATCATTTTTTAAACAATTCTACATTTCAAGCTACTTTGCACCAGTTATCAAATGAAATATTGTAACACTGGTGATACAAACATTGTCAATATTGTGCAACATAATACAGCTAAATTAAAATGATTTTAATCAATCTTTTCATTAGAAGGGTTTGTGTTATCTAAGAGCCCGTAGGCAACCGAGAGAGAGTTGGTACAGATCATAAACTGTCAGTGTGCGGACTCACGAAAGAAGAACAAAAACCGTGTGATAACTACTGACCTCTAATATTGTGTTACTAGGACCAGTGATACAGGTTGTAGTACATCAGGGCGCCAGATAAAGGCCGTAAAACTGTATCTGTATCATGTGGTGTACCATGTATTGTACCATGGCACTGACATAATATTCAGTGATGTAGGGAGTGGAAAGTCTGGCCTTGGTCCAATGAGATGAACAATTGTCTTCCCTTGAAGTGTATTTCTTGTAAAACATTTAAAACATGAGATTTCAATGCATTACTTTCTTTGAGCTAATGCTATTGTCATTTGAAGAACAAACAGATTTAACAGTTTCAATTTTAAACCAATGCTGTAGTTTTGTAATAGATACATTTGGCAAAAAAGAGGTAGTTTTATAGTTGTCAGGGGTAGAAGTTTAGTGTCTCTCAGTACGTTGGTGAGGTAGCTCATGATTCAATGGAATGTGATAAAAATGTTATTGTGATCTAATTAAAGATGAATAATATGTCTAATGCCTGTATGTTGAATTTTGTTTGTTGAATTATGCTCTTGCTCACGTGGCCAACTGATCATGAAGAGAGCTTTCTATTTCTAATAATATTGTATGATGTCATGAGTAGTACACTGACAATGATCATTTACAGATGGATTTACAATAATTTTTACTTCCAGAACCTGTAAGACATTTTCATTGAACATTTGAGGTGAGGTAAACCTGATTTGGTGTTTAATGCCGCCTTCAAGAGTATATCACTGCGGCTAGTGTTATTGCAGGGAGAAAGCCTGCAATGCCAGTGTAGCTTTGCGTCGCTGTGAAAACTGCAAACGGTCATCAGCTGTAACTATGGTTGGTACTGGTTGAATATGTGAGAATCTTATAAGAATCTTATAAGAACCATATAAGTTTCTTATAAGGTTCTTATAAAGTATCTTATAAGTATCTTATAAGTTTAACATTCATATAAGAATCTTAAAGAAACTTATAAGAATCTTATAAGAATGTTAAAGTTCTTATAAATTTGCATACTTTATAAGAATCTTATAAGAATATTTCGTATGGGTCTGATTTACTGCTATTCACATGACAGTGTTTCAAGTTTGCTTGATTGTTGACTGTTGTTGCCTCATATAAACTATAACTGTATACTCCTTGACAACAGTTACCTCTAGGGCTGTTACTATTCATTCGTGACTATTCAGATAATTGAACTGTCTCCCTTCATGAATTCAGTTCGCTATTTGCAATCACTAGAATTGAAATGTTCTTGAAGCTTTTTAAAAAGGAGTGTTTTAACTTGAATTTGTGTTTGATTTATCAAAGTGAGATATGGAATATATCCAACCAAGCAGAATGGCTATCAACACTCATTTCTTTTATTTCATATTAATTTGTTCACTGGACATACTGTGGATAAATTAAGGAGGTGTTCCATACTGTTCCAACTTCTAAATGCCTCTCAAAGAGACACTGTGTCAACATGTACAAAACACATCAAAGAATATACTTTGTTATTGTTTCACTGAATACTTTAAATAATACATCAACTGATGACATGTTATTGGATTCATGGCTCAATACTTGTGGCATGTATCATATTTTCTTCATAGAAGATTTGCTGCAGCCCTAGTTATCTCCCCTTGACTATTGTTAACTGATCTTATAAATACTCTTTTTATAAGATGATAGCTTGTAAACCTGAACCATCTCAATTTTGTGTACTGTCATCAAAACTATTTTATCTCTATTGTATATTGTATACAATCCATATTACATATTCATGAGGAATGATAATGTTGAACCACATATTTGAGAAGACATGCAATATTGCCCAAATAAGCAAGATCAATGTATTTGAACTCTGACTTAAGAATGTCCACATTGCTAAATCTGTTATAGTCAGCTGATATTTTGGAGGCCAGTTTCTTATCAAGCCCTGTTTGCAAGTTTGAAAACGGTACATCAGCAACTTGATTTTCAGCTTTAAAATAATCAGTTAACAACTGTGAAGCCATTTTAACAGCAGCTTTCCTGGGTGCAGGAATTTGCTCATTGCTCTCCTGAGTCGAGAAATGGAAGTCAGTTTCGAATACTTTGTGTATAATACATTCAGCACAATGACATGTTTTGAGCAATTGTCACAACAACGATGACCTGGTTCTGGTTGGACACATTCAAATTCAAAATAAGTCATCAAAGTCTGTCTTCTGCATTTGCTAGTGGTGCAGAAATCTTTCATTTCCTTTGAGAGATGTTTGACGTTTGAAGCTATGTCTGATTTGTTCATGTACACGTACTATTGCCTCTGCATGTTCACCATCACGCCCAGCTCGACCAGTTTCTTGCAAGTAAGCTGCAAACCAAAATATCATTATCATTCTCTGCAAAAAAACTAAGAGTAATACTGTCCTATTTTTTAATTGGTGTCTGAACAATTCCTGTTATTGTATTCTACTTTATGATTGCTTTGTTCCATCACCCAACTAAGCACTCAATAAATATACTGAACAGGCCTTTCGCAACATGACAATGACTAAAACTGAGTTTGTTTCATATTAAGCATGCAAATGTGTGTTCATTTTCAGTACCCAATTGTTGAACCAGATATATTGTCTCTAATTTATTGATTTAATTATTTCCATTTTGCTTACTTTCTAACGTTGAAGGTGGTCAAATGTGAATAACCCTTCTTATATCAGGTGCATCAGTGCCCATGCTGTATGCCTCAGTGGCAAAAAGTAGCCTTACATAGCTATTGGGAGACTTGAATATACAAGACAGTTCTTGTTTCAGCAGAAAACAAAGGTCTAATTATTTACAGAGAGCAAGGCTTGCTTTCCAAAAATAAGTAAAAATTGATACTTAATCATAAATTCTAAAATGTTACTGTATGTTGACATGAAAAACATTTGTCTTTACAAGTGCTATTAATTATCCATAATTGGTTCATTTCAGGACAATACTGGGAAATTATATATATATTAGTAGCAGAGGTAAATTATTGATAAATACTACATAAACCGCTTACTGCATCAACTTGCGGTGCATGATACTGTCCAGCCTGGCAGTGTACTGACTATTATAGGTGTAACAGTGGAGTTCTTCGTCGCCTATTATTTGAAGTGCCAATTCATGGCCATATCCACACCATTTCAGCTTGCTGAAGAGAACTGTTTTGGGGAAGGATCTTCCTTTTTCCTGTAAAAATATACTCGTTTCTTAAAATGCCTCTCACCCAGTATTTTGTGAAGAATTTGTAAACTATACTCAAACAAAATTAAGTTCAGGAGAAATTAATGTGTATTTGCCAGATTTACAGATATCATTACAAAATTCTGCAGATACATTTTTCACTTATCAGTTACTGTTTCATTTTTCTGCTGAATAATGTTATTAATAATGCAAACAGTCCTGTATTAAGACCATATACATGTACACGTTTTTGATTATCTAGGTACTTGTCATTAATATTTACCAAATATTTCACTTTGTACCAAAGATGGTGTTATGTCATTAGTGCAGTACAGTTAATTGGTTGCTGCTTGCATATTAGTCTTGATGATATAACTAAGATAGGTATTGTTTCATCTGAAGGTAGTAATGATATATGTGACTAAAAAGAGAATATGATTAAAACGGTATTATTTATTGTGTGCATTAAAGATAATATGTAAGAGATGTATTTTGTCAGTCAGCAAAGTTTACTGCTGTCATTTTAAAATGGGATCTGTATGTGATTGGTGTAATAATAGAATTCACATATTTGCCATGATTATGAAATGTGATTATTAACTGCTATCTAACTGCTAAGTGAAATGTTATTCTGCATTTGCTGTAAAGACATAACCACATCATTTGCTGTGGTATGATATATATTTTGTACCTTTAATTCCATTAATATTGGCCTCAATACCTCTCCATAAGCATCTTCTGATGTTTTGTATACAGAATTATGGGAGGGTCTCTCATTCACTGAATAAAACAGGTTTGGGCGATCACATGATGCTGATACTAAGTAGTAATTAGCACAAAGCCTGAAGTGTTTTGCTATGCGTTTTTTGTGTTGTTCTTGTAGCTGTTGCAGTCATTGCAACAACTTTTGCGTTTGGTAGAATTGCCCTTAGCGTGTCAAGACGCTGATAATCTGTGCGGAAACTGTCGCCCCACGTGTCGATGCATTGAGCCTCATCAACATTGATGTGAGATATCTGCCTCTCATACATAATTTTTTCAGATCACAGAGAAACCCCTTCTGCAATAACTGCTCAGTGTGTCCAAGAATATATGTGGGCATTTTGGAGCTTTTGTCTCCCATGTGGTCTTACAAAATGTGCATGCACCTTTCGGCGTGAAATTTCACGTTTTCGTTGATGATTGCATTCAAGGGACTCACGACGAGAATTGATGTTAGATAATCTTGCATGTGACATTTGCATATAGCAGTGCACGCACACGCTGCCTGACAACGTCTGACTCCAATATAATAGGGAATTAGTTCGTAAGCCAG